CCAATCCAATCTCTGTCCCTATGTGTTTGTTTATTGTTGTTATTATCTACTACTTAATGAAGGAAATCATACGGTATTTGACCTTCTCCCTCTGATACTGTGTGTTCTAAAGTTGGAAAGCCACTGTGGACTAGATTACCTTTTTTCAGTTTTAAGATTATGTCGTTTATTGATAGTATTTTTTTCTTTATAGAATGAGTTGGCAGATGGATTAAACAAAAAGCGTTTACAAATCTTGTTAAAAGACTATGGTGAATATCCAACGAAATATAGGTAAAATTTAAATTCTTTCATGTTAAATCAATCTTACCCCCCAAATTTTTCTTGGTTAAAATTATATTTTAATTTCAGAATGTTCATTTGGCGCTCTCTGCTACAACTGCCTGAAAATCATACTGCATTTAGTAACCTAATAGATAAGGGTATTCATGCGGCGTTTCTCAACCTTCAGAAGAAATACCCCATCAAAAGTAGGAAGCTACTCAGAATATTACAGAGGTATGTTCAGTATATTGCAGCAATGTGTATCTCCCTCAAAATATGTATTAACTACAAATGGGAAAATAGTCATTCTGTAGTAGAGAAACTGAGCAGACACCACTTTAACCAAGTAATCAAATTTAAAATCACCAGTAATAAAACATTTCAATATGTTGCACATTACTTTTGTGGTATTCTTGCCAAAAATTTATAACCTCAGTCTAATCATGAGAAAATAGACAACTCAGATTGAGGAACAGTCTGTAAACTAACTGTCTGGTATTCCTCAAAAATGTCAGCGTCATAAAAGATGAGACTGGGGAACTCTCACATTGGAAGAAACCATGGTGACATAACAAATGCAGTGTTGCATCCTGGATTGGTGAAATGAAAAAATGACACAGAAAAATGACATTAGTGTGAAAGATGGTAAAATCTGAATAAAGTCTGTAATTTGGTTACTAGCATTGTAGCAATGTTAGTTTCTTAGTATTGGTAATTGTGCTGTCTTTTTGTGTGTGTGTGAGGAATATCAGCCCTGAGCTAACATCCATGCTAATCCTCCACTTTTTTTTGCTAAGGAAGACCGGCTCTGAGCTAACATCTATTGCCAGTCCTCCTCCTTTTTTTTCCCAAAGCCCCAGTAGATAGTTGTATGTCATAGTTGCACATGCTTCTAGTTGCTGTATGTGGGACGCGGCCTCAGCATGGCCGGAGAAGCGGTGCGTTGGTGCGCGCCCGGGATCCGAACCCGGGCCACCAGTAGCGGAGCGCGCACACTTAACCGCTAAGCCACGGGGCCGGCCCCTGTGCTGTCTTTATGCAAGATTTCAACAGTAATTTGAGCAAAAGGTGTATAGGAACTCTCTACTATTTTTGCAACTTTCTGTAAGCCTAAAATTATTTCAAAACGAAAAGTTAAAAAAAATAAAAAACCTTCAAAGTATTAGAAGTAATTGTGAGAGAATTGTAATCCCAGAGTACGGCAGGCTTTTCTAAGCATGACATATCCAGAAGAGATTGATACGAATAAAAGTCTCTACATGTAAAAAGTTTCCCAAGACAAAGACATACATAAAACCAAGAAAATACATCAAAACATATGACAAAATAAAAGGCTGATTTCTTAAATATATGAAGTGCTCATGTAAGTAAGCATGAAAAGGACCAACCGATAAAAAAATGGAAAAAGGATTGAACATATAGTTCATAGCAGTGGAAGTGGTTCTTAAACATGAAAAGATGCTTAACCTGTCTCATAATAAAAGAAGTGCCAACAAAACTACATCGAAACATATATATATTTCTAAAACTGCATTGAAATACTATTTCTCACCTAGATTAAAGATTTGGAAAGAAGGTTGATAATAAAATATGTTGGCAAGAGTGAGAAAATAGACATCCCTTCGCACTGCTAATGGGAACGTAAATAGACTATTTTTGTGGAGAATAATTTGACACTGGCTATTGAAATTACTAATGCGCAGATCCTTTGACTTGGCAATCCCAGTTCTACGAATTTATCTATATCTGTATTCCCACGTGGAGAATGATGTACATACAGTGACATTAAGCAGAGCATTGGTCTTGTATAAATGACTTTTAATGCTGGTTCTGGGGAGGTGAGATAGATGATGGGGTAGGAGGGAGAATCTTCACCCATTTCACCTTCTGTATTGAATTTTTTATCATGTGAATATTATTTATTCCAATAAATTTTAATAATAAGCCGTTTTCCGGTCTTTATTTCCTCATTTTATGCACAGAACCTTGTCTGCGTTGGCTCACTGGTCTGCCATCTTTAGCGAGACACCATATCTTCCCCTCTTGGCATTTCCATTTGTAAAATTATTCCAGAACAACCAACTCATCTGTTTTGAAGTTGTTGCTACTCTCATAAGTAAGTAAATAAGTATTAAATAATGAAATCAAGAGTGGATTCTTATACATTTTCCTAATGTCTTTGCACCTGTGCAATATTTAACAATTCTAGTGTGAAACAGTCAGTATAGAGCATAAAGTGGACAATTTGGACATTTATACATAAACTTTTTTATTTACAAGAAAGTTTGGATAGTTGCGTTTTAGAAGATATTGTTATAGGCTAGATTTTGTTAGTAAAAGGGAGGCAGATTCTTCACTTACTGGAAGTCAGTTATTATTCATAGGACTGTAGATATTATTCACAGGACTGTAGTTATTATTCAGAGGACCGTAGTTATTATTCACAGGACCATAGTTATTATTCACAGGACTGTAGTTATTATTCAAAGGACTGTAGTAAGTGTGTAAAGCATTTCGCACACGACGCCTGTGGTGGCAGGTGCTGGCTGCTGTCCTCATTCTCATTATCCATAGCTAACATTCATTGAGGACTTTCTGTGTACCAGCTACCGTTCTCGTTTTGCCTTTGTTAACTCATTTAATCCTTACAACAATGCTATGAGGTAGGTGTTATTATTATCTCCCTGTTATAGATGAGGAAACTGAGGCACAGAGACCTTACGTCCCTAGGGTTAGGTTACTGGCAGAACAAGGATTTGAAGCCAGGCAGGCAGACTCTGTAGCCTGTGCTCCCAGCCAGCGTGTCTGCTGCTCGTCTTCAGCATACACACTGAAGAGTGAGTCGTTTTGTCACATTAGTAAAATCAGGTCAGTTAATTAATAAACTAAATCCAAATTATACGTTGGTTTAAGAAAAATAACCAATTTTCTATGTATTTTAAATTATTTAAAGTGTTTTTCTTATACAAAGGAGATAAGCAGTTAATTATAATAATAAAATTCTGAAAAAGTAGAAGTAAAAAGATCCCAGCATACATATTGAGAGTATTTTAGTATATTTCTCTTTACTTTTACTTTTTTTTGTTCATTTTATTACTTTGTATTTGCTTTGATAAATTTTTACTGTTCATTGGAGAAAATATAGGAAAATATACTAAAGAAAAGAAAATTCACCAGTATTCCTCTTCCCTAGACATAATCTTTCATAATATATTAATGAATTTCTTATAAGAGCATTTCTCCCAAATCATTAAATATTCTTGAAAAACATAATTTATTGCCTGCATGATATAATATTTCATCTCATAGGTGTATCATAATTTATCTATTCCCCAACTTCTAGACTTTTAGTGATTTTTTCCCCAAATTTTTGCACACTTTTTAAGCAGTTTTTTATTTTTATAATCATACTACTTTTATTGAACATGTTATATACATTTATCTTATTTTTATAAATTTTATAAACATTTTATTGACTGTAATATTCCATAATGTGCATGTACTAGTTTAATATCTTATTGTGGGACATTTAGGTAGTTTCTAATTTTTACCTATTAAAAGAAACAGTGTTATAACTATCTTTACATACAAATATTTATAATTTATTTTGGACAGATCCCTAAAATTAGTATTATTAGGTCATAAAATATGAATATTCTAATTGCTTCCCCAAAAGGATTGTACTAATTTACCCTGCCAATAAGACTATGAATTTAAAAAGGAAAAGAAGCTCAACAACAAAAAGATAAACAGTCCAATTTTAAAATGGGCAAAGGACTGGAATAGACATTTCTCCATAGAAGATAAACAGATGGGGGCCGGCCCCGTGGCTTAGCGGTTAAGTGCGCACGCTCTGCTACTGGCGGCCCGGGTTCGGATGCGGGCGCGCACTGACATACCGCTTGTTCAGCCATGCTGTGGCGACGTCCCACATACAGCAACTAGAGGGATGTGCAACCATGACGTACAACTATCTACCGGGGCTTTGGGGAAAAAAGGGGCAAAGAAAAGGGAGGAGGATTGGCAATAGATATTAGCTCAGGGCCAGTCTTCCTCAGCAAAAAGAGGAGGATTGGCATGGATGTTAGCTCAGGGCTGATCTTCCTCACAAAAAAGAAAAAAAAGATAAACAGATGGCTAATGAGCACATGAAAGGATGCTCAGGATCATTAGTCATTAGGGAAATGCAAATCAAAACCACACTGAAATGGCACCTTATACCTACTAGGATGGCTATAATTAAAAAAAAAAAAAGAATAAGCGTTGGCAAGGCTGTGGAAAAATTGGAACCTTCATACTTTGTTGGTAGAAATATAAAATGGTGCAGTCACTGTAGAAAACAGTTTGGGGGTTCCTCAAAAAGTTAAACATAGAATTATCATAGAACCCAGTAATTGCACTCCTGGGGATATACCCAAAAGGAATGAAAACAGAGACTCAAACAGAAACTTGTATGTGAATGTTCATAGCAGCATTATTCCCAATAGCCAAAAGATGGAAACAACCTGTGTCCATTAACAGATGAATGGGTAAACAATATGTATATACGATGGAATATTATTCAGCCGTAAAAAGGAATAAAATTCTGATACACGCTTCAACATAAATGAACCTTGAAAATGTTATGCTTAGTGAAATAAGCTAGACACAAATGGACAAATTTATATGAAATATCTCAAATAGGCAAATTCAGAAAAACACAGAAAGTAGATTATAGAGGTTACCAGGGGCTGGATGAAGTGGGAATGGGAAGTTAGTGCTAAATAGATACAGAGTTTCTGTTTGGGAAAGGATTTTGGAAATAGTGATGGTTGCACAACATTGTGAATATAATTATTGCCACTGAATTGTACACTTAAAAATGGTTAAAATGGCAAATTTTACCATAAGAAAGAAAAGAAACATATCTCATTTAGGTAGGCATGCAAACTATTTTTTTTTATTTCCAGTAAAATCTTGTTACATAGCTAAAGTATGATTATATGCTAAGGAAATTGATTTTTTTGTGTGTGTGTGAGGAAGATCAGCCCTGAGCTAACATCTGCCACTCCTTTCCTTTTTTTGCTGAGGAGGACTGGCCCTGGGCTAACATCCATGCTCATCTTCCTCCACTTTATATGGGACACCGCCACAGCATGGCTTGACAAGCGGTGCATCGGTGCGCGCCCGGGACCCGAACCGGCGAACCCCGGGCCGCCACAACGGAGTGCGCACACTTAACCGCCTGCGCCACCGGGCTGGCCCAGGAAATTGATTTTTCTCTTCTAATCCTAAAATCTAAATCTAGAAGATCCGTAATGGTCATCATGAATAGCTATGGATTTTCATCAAGGGTCTCAAACTACAGTAGTCCCTCGTTACCCACAGTTTCACTTTCTGCAGTTTCACTTACCCACAGTCAACTGCAGTCTACAAATATTAAGTGGAAATTTCCAGAAATAAATAATTCATAAATTTTAAATTGCACACCATTCTGAGTAGTATGATGAAATGCAGTGCCATCCGGCTCTTTCCCTCCCGGGACATGAATCGTCCCTTTGTTGGATCCTTAACCATCTACTTCATCAGCTTCTGACAGCCACCCATCGACAATGTCATGGCTCGATGATCCTCCTCCTGACTTAGGTGAAGGTGAATAGCAGCCTCACGCTACGTCACAATGCCCGTGTCACTCACCTCACTTCATCTCACCGCGTAGGCATTGTATCATCTCACAGCATCACAAGAAGAAGGGCAAGTACAGTACAATAAGATATTTTGAGAGAGACCACATTCATAAACTTTTATTACAGTATATTGTTATAATTGTTCTATTTTATTATTAGTTATTGTTGTTAATCTCTTACTGTGCCTAATATACAAGTTAAACTTTATCATAGGTACGTATGTATAGGAAAAAACAGTACGTATATATCGTGTTTGGTACTATCCTCAGTTTCAGGCATCCACTGGGGGTCTTGGAATGTATCCCCCGTGGATAATGGGGGACTACTGTAGTTTTATTCAATAAACATTGACTGACCTTCAACTAAATGTTAGCACTGCTAGGGATAAGCCATTGTTGTGGCTTTCAGGCTTAGAGTCTAATTGGGACCTAGAAGAAATTTTGAAGGAATACAGTCACTTCTATGTATAATTTGGGATACGTGTATAAAAGTCATTTGTAAGTGCTCTTTAGAGTCCCTCTTATGACCAGGAGGAAATTCTTTGGATTTAGTAAGGGATCTCCATACAGTTATCATTGCTCTTCATTCTGCTTTCAGTTAGCTCTGTCGCTAGGGCCTCTACCCATACTTTTGTTGTGGTGGCACCAAGCAGAATAAAAGAAGAGAAGGCAAACGGTTACTGTATAAAGCAAGGGTTTCCCTCTTGCCTAATTGAAAACAATGTTCTATTGATGAAGATTACTAAGTATAAGAATCAGGGCTTTGTGTATGTATATGGTGTTTTAAAATTCCCGGAACCAGCAGTGTCTGAGACATGGTAGGTACTTAACTTAGTACATGTTGCTAAACTGGATTTTCCTTTTAAAGTTAACTTATTTAAGAGCAGCAGTTAAAGAAGTTCAAATATTTCTTTTAAAGCTTAGTGTTTGCAAGAGTTTATTTATGACTTAGTTATTAACTCAAATTTAAAGACTTAGTAATAAATGAGATAATGGACTTCTAGAATTGGAAAGCCCTTATAAACCATATGTAATCCAGTACTTTGCTGATCAAAGCCTTCTTTCATTAGTTTGAGAAAGGAGATCTTATTGTCAGAAGATGAAACCACAACTCAATATTCAAAATAAAATATCAGGGGTGGGGGCCGGCCTGGTGGCATAGTGGTTAAGTTCTCATGCTCCACCTCATTGGATCGGGGTTCACAGAATCAGATCCCAGGCACGGACCTATGCACCGCTCATCAAGCCATGCTGTGGCGGCATCCCTCATACAAAATAGAGGAAGATGGGCACAGGTGTTAGGCCAGGGCCAACCTTCCTCAGCAAAAAGGGGAAAGATTGGCAACAGATGTTAGCTCATGACCAATCTTCCTCACCAAATAAATAAATAAATAAAATATCTGAATTTGATAGTTAAGGAGAGCTGTAGTGGTCAGACATAGGGCTCATTGAGCAAAACACACTGATGATCTTACTAGGGTTTTTGAGAAGAGTGTTTGGGGGCTTGTACTGGTTACTAAGTGAGTTACAGTCAGCTTTAGAAGCCTCTCCACTGGAATGGATTCTGGTTTCCACTGGCTGATTTTCAAAAGATGCTGCTGTCACTGATTGGTTGGTTTTCAAAGTCAAGTTTACTGAACAGGTTGTCATCGATCAATTAGATTTAAAACCAGTTCTGCTGGTTACTGGGTACCATAGCTATTGAATAATCAGTCTTTTCCCTAGTAAGGGGGCTGACTATTTTTGTTCTCATTATAACATTGAATGGATAGGGATATCTTATATACCCATTTGTTTTTATGCATTGCTATTGATATGTAAGAATGTAATTTTGAATATTTTTACTAAACTTTTCTAATTTTAATTAGGTATGAATTTTAGTAGATTTGAGGAGATTGGCATTTAACATTGATCACATTTAGTGAAGACTTAACTTGGAACCTTGTTTAGAAGGAAGATTTTCCTAACCAAGAGAAATCCAAAAACATGTAACACATGAGTCAGCAGAAACTGGAGTGCCCTGTAGCTCGGATCAGGAATGAGTTTGGGACATTTTGTTTGTTTTATTGACACTTTCTCATTGACTGCTCTGAAGAACTTGGCAAATTTCTATAAACCTAAAATACTATGTTAACATGATGGAATTTTAATTCTATTGTTGTAGAATTTAAAGAGTTATGTTTTCTCTTCCTTGTTAATGGGCATGTTGAGGACATCAACAGTGGGTACATTTAAGAATTGCAAAGTCCTTTGATAATACGGAAAAGTAAAGATGAATTTTCAATTTTTTTCTTTGTAGTCAATTGGTGTCAACACTGGTTTGAATATTTTCCTAATCCTCCTATCAATATTCTTAGTATGATAGAAAATGTTTTGGCATTTCACGACAAGAAACTGCTGCAGCACTTCATAGATCATGACATAACTTCCCAGGTAAGAAGTAGGAGGTTTTTAGAACAACGTAACTTATTTTGGAAGCTAACATTGGTTCTGATATAAATAAACCAGTATTTTCTTGAAAGAGTATAATACAAAACATCCTACATTTTGTATTTTTAACAGTATCCCATTCTTTTTCTTCATTAAACTGCTTTCCTGAAAGTCTATAAAGAAGGGTCCAAATTAAGGTAGTTCTTTTCATAATTATGTTTTTAATATAATGATTTTAATGGTTAAACCAAATGGAAGAGAATATTAGCAGTGACTCTATTGACTTTTCTCTAGAAAACCAATAAATTTTTTCGTATTTATTTTAGCTATACGCGTGGCCTCTTCTTGAAACGGTGTTCTCAGAAGTACTAACCAGAGAGGAGTGGCTGAAATTATTTGATAATGTCTTTTCTAACCATCCTTCGTTCCTCCTGATGACTGTTGTAGCCTACAACATATGTTCCAGGGCTCCTTTGCTCAACTGTAATCTTAAAGATGATTTCGAGGTAAATATCCTTGTTCTTAAGTAGCGGTTCTCAGATTTCGTTTATTTATTGAGAACCTGTTATACGTCAGGTACTGGTGCTGGGTGGTGGGAATATGGTGGAGAACAAGTTATACCACACCCTTGCCCTTACATAGTTTGTAGACAACTCAACAGGCAATTACAACAGACCGTTAGTCTTAAAATCATAGCTTCAGAAAAGAAACATGATAACCTTGGAGTTTTGTGCTTTTTGCCTGTATAAAGGATGTTTAACAATTGGGTATTGTTTATTCTGTACATGGTCTTATCAGTGACCCATCTGGTCTGTGGTAATCTGGATGCTTATTACACGTGTAAAACGATAACTATGAGAATTTTGAGATTTGATGGGAATGTGACTGAAAGAAAGCATTGGAGGTGGTTTTTAAAAGGACAGGTTCTTTTGGTAGACGTGAGAATTGTTTTTTTGTTTGTTACTTATTTTGTGGTTCTCGTCAAATTACACTTTATTTTTACTTCATGTTCATAAGATAACATACATATATATGTTTTAAAATTTGGATCTGCCAGCAGAACAAGATAATGTGGGAACATTTCAGATATTTTTAAAGAAGCTAATTTATTTTCAAATTTATTTATTTTGGATTCTGAAGGAAGAAAATCCAAGCAGAAGAGTTTGTTCCATTGTGGAAGCATTCTTCTTCTGTTATAAAGGAGGCCTTCAGTTTGAGTTAAAATTTAAAAAATGTTATTTTAAAAGTTCATAATATGGTTTTGGAATTTTATTACATTTTGAAAATATGAAATTGGATCTTCATTTTAAAACTTGGGTTAAGAAAAGCTTCCGTGAATTTGCAAAAAAAAAATCCTCATAAAGATGAATTCACATTTTCTTTTTTAAACTCTTGTTTTAATTTTACCTCATAATTGCTTTGTTAGGTAAATCTCAATTTAAACATAAAGTTTTCTTACAGTATTTTTTCCACCATCGGAATAACCTGGATATCAGTGTTGTAATTCGAGAAGTTTATCATCTCATGGATACCACGCCTGCTGATATTCATCCAGACCGCATGCTTGATGTTTTTGTGTCACTGACAAAAGGGCAATATCCAGTATTTAATCAGTATCCAAAGTTCATCGTGGACTATCAGACGCAGGAACGAGAAAGAATAAGGAGTGATGAATTGGATTACCTAAGAGAGAGGTAATCATGGAATAGTTGTTCTTTGTGTAATAGAAACAAAATGTTATAAATAAGAAAATTTTTTATGAAAAATACAATAAATTATTAAGTATTTCTGTAAAATCAGAATTTGAAGGCTGGAAATATCTTTAAAGATATTTAATTCTTGCATATAGAAGTAAAACAATTGCATATTAATCGGGTATATGTTTTGTGTTTTGGTTGTTCTTAAACTAAAATTACTCAGGTTTCTTGTTTACATTTTGATATAGTAATAAATATTGTCTACTTAAGGCAGACGGTTGAAGACATGCAAGTTGAAGTAGACCAACAAAGGGCTGAAGATGAAGCTTGGTACCAAAAACAAGAACTTCTTCGTAAAGCTGAAGAAACAAGGAGAGAAATGCTCTTGCAAGAGGAGGAGAAGATGATACAACAAAGACAGAAGTATGTTTTATCACTTTGAAAAAATCTGGACATATGAGTTAGTTGAATAATTTTTATTTTCTTTCATTTTCATTATAGGAACAACACTATATGTAGCATTACCCAGCTGTAGTGTTTCCATTGAGCAAATATTTAAGTTCATAAAAATAAATCTGTGTATACCACTTTTCAAAAATTGACATTCAGTAAAGTGCAATGCTACAGCTATACTGAGTATGATATGACTTTGCATTGATTATTCAGAAGTACTATAAGATCTAGTATACTTTGGAGGACATTATTAGAAACATTCTACAGTGGGCAGAAATGCTTTGTAATAGAGTGCTGGATAAATCACCTTTAGGGAGCATAATTTTTTAAATTGTGTTTTAAATATATCTGTGTGGGGCCGGCCCCGTGGCTTAGTGGTTAAGTGCACGTGCTCCACTACTGGCGGCCTGGGTTCGGATCCTGGGTGCACACCGACGCACCGCTTCTCTGGCCATGCTGAGGCTGCATCCCACATACAGCAACTAGAGGGATGTGCAGCTATGACGTACAACTATCCACTGGGGTCTTCCTCAGCAAAAAAAGAGGAGGATTAGCATGGATGTTAGCTCAGGGCTGATCTTCCTCACAAAAAATAAATAAATAAATAAATATATCTGTGTGAACTGAAAATTGAAACATAAAATGATTATCTCACTATGCATTTCATACTTTGGAGGACAGGGGAAGAAGTATTAATGCTTATTCAAAAGTATGTTAATAAGGTAAAATGTTTAAGTAAAATATGGGACGAGCATTCAGACTAATCCTAATTGTTGGGAAACTCACTTCTATAAGTGTTTATTGATTCTTATTCTTGGGTGGGACTTGATGAAACAGATTTCTGGTGTGGGTTAAAAAGAATTACTGAACTGAGCCATTAGCCTGCTACTAAAATTCTAAAAGAATAAGCATCCATGATCTTTGTTAACATCAGAGTATTTTTTCACATTCTTCCTTCAGATAACAGATATCAGTTGTATTGAGATGATCTGAGTAGCAGACCAGTTGAGAACTTTTGAATATGTAAAGGATAGCCAGTTGCACATGGACCACTTATCATTTTCATGAATGCAGACTTGTTTTGTTATTGGGTATCTTTCATTTATATATTATAAATACAGCTGTGCTACAATGGTACCGGTTAAATTGGGAAAGTGGACCAAATTAGGTGGCAGGCCTTTCGTTGTTGTGACACAATATTTTTTCATTTAAGTCTATATTGGGAAATATTTCCATTTGTTCCTCTTGATGTATTTTGTATTTAAGACTAGCTGCTGTGAAAAGAGAGCTGAAAGTAAAAGAAATCCACTTACAAGACGCTGCAAGAAGGCGTTTTCTGAAGCTTCAGCAAGATCAGCGTGAAATGGAACTAAGAAGACTAGATGATGAAATTGAGAGAAAGGTTTATTTTTCTGATCTTAGTACTCATACATTATCTCCATTTACTCTCATTTAAATGTAATGAACACCTTCAAGTTAAATAGTATTCCTAGAGGTCACAATGAAGACTAAATAGCCCCTTTCATTTTATTTCCTCTTCCCCTCAGATGGTATTCTATTTTGTATTTCATTAATGGTTAAATATTTTAGAAATGCCAGGAAAATGAGTCAAGTTGACTAGTGCCCTTGGTGACAGTTTCTCTAAAAATAGAAGTATCCATTAAGTTAATTTGAAGTAGGGGAAATATTTTTTTTAGTATAAAAATTTACACATGGCCAGTATAAAAACATTTTCATTATAAAACATAGGGAATTAAAAATGGACCTTTTCCACTCTTCTCTTATTTCATCCCCAGAGATAAACTGTTAAAAAAATGGTTCATTACGTGGCCTTTCAGATGTTTTTCTGTAGATAAAGGAATAATTACATTCATATTTTCCTATATTTATACAAAAAGAGGATTATTCTCCTTATATGTTCTGTTTTTGTGACCTGCTTCTTAAAATGTTGAATGTCTTGTGATACACATTATATGTGTATCTGTTTCTCTTGTTTATGGTTGCATAGTATTCCATTTTATGAATATGTCATAGTTTATTTGACCAATCCTTTGCTGTTGGAAATTTAGGTTGTTTGCAGTGTTTTGCTATACAACAGTGCTATGTTGTACATTCTCAGTTCAGATCCTTGTGTACTTGCACACATACTTTTGTTGAGTGAATTCCCAGTTATGCCAAATTGTCCTCCAAAAATGAACCCATTTAAGCTATTTTAAGTGTATAGGAACACCCATACCCTAGTCAGTTTGGAGTGCGTCAGTCTTAATATTTGCCAGTCTGATAGGTAAAAAATTGTATATTTTAATTAACTTTTTTTTTTGCTGGTGAGGTTAAGTATCTCTACAGTTATTTATCTTCCGTTTGTAGAAGAATTATAAATTGCATATCCATATCATTTGTTCATTTTTCCAGCAAATTCAATTTTCTTACTAATTTACGTGGGCTCTTTATATCGTTTGGAGCAGCAGTGTCCAATAGAATTATAATGTGAGCCACATAGGTAATTTTAAGGTTTCTAATAGCCACATTAAAAAAGTAAGAAGAAACAGCTGAAATTCATTCTAATAACATTTTATTTAACTCAATATATTTATAGGTTATCATTTCAAGATGTAATTAGTATAAAGACATTATTAATGAGATGTTTTACCTTTTGTTTCTACTAAATCTTTGAAATCCAGCAGTCCAATTTATACTTACAGCACACCTCAATTTGGACTAGTCACATTTTAAGTGCTCAACAGCCATGTGTGGCTGGTGGCTGCCATACAGCATGTGGTTGGGGCATTAACCCTTTGTCTGTTGTAAATGTTTTCCTCTTGTCTGTGTTGCTTGTCTCATAAGCATGTTTAGTATCTTTTTTTTTTAATCATACAAAATATTTTAATTGGGGATAACCAACTTTATTAGTTTTTTATGACTTCTTGGTTTCGTGTCATATTTAGAAAGACCTTACCATTCCCATTCTAAGGTTATATTACCACTTATGCATATTTTCTTCTAGTTTTATGTTTTCCTGTTGTTTTTTTGTGTGTATGTGAGGAAGACTGGCTCTGAGCTAACATCCATTGCCAATCCTCCTCTTTTTGCTGAGGAAGATTAGCTCTGAGCTGACATCTGTGTCCATCTTCCTCTATTTTGTATGTGGGATACCGTCACAGCATGGCTTGATGAGCGGTGTGTAGGTCCACGCCTGGGATCCAAACCTGTGAACCCCAGGCTGCTGAAGCAGAGTGTGCTAACTTAACCACTATGCCACTGGGCTGGCCCCGTTCCTCTTGTTTTTTTAGTCTTTGATGTATCTCAAGGGTCAGCGAACTACAGTGCACCAACAAATTTGGCCCACCATCTATTTTGTAAGGCCGTGAGCTAGAATGGTTTTAACCATTTACAATTGCATCAAAAAGAATAAAATATCTAGGAATAAATCTTACCAAGGAGGTGAAAGACCTACACAATGAAAACTACAAGACGTTATTGAAAGAAATCGATGATGACATAAAGAAATGGAAAGACATCCCAAGCACGTGGATTGGAAGAATAAACATAGTTAAAAATGTCTGTATTACCTAAAGCAATCTACAGATTCAATGCAGTCCCAATCAGAATCCCAATGACATTCTTCACAGAAATAGAACAAAGAATACTAACATTCATATGGGGCAGGGAAAGACCCTGAATAGCTAAAGCAATCCTAAGAAAAGAGAACAAAGCTGGAGGGCCGGCTCCGTGGCTTGGCGGTTAAGTGCGCGCGCTCTGATGCTGGCGGCCCGGGTTCGGATCCCGGGCACGCCCCAAGGCACCACTTCTCCGTCCAACCCGAGGCCGAGTCCCACGTACAGCAACTAGAAGGATGTGAACCTATGACATACAACTATCTACTGGGGCTTTG